GTAATAATTGTTCCTGTCACCCACCCTTTGTTACCTGAACATTGGCATTGAATCACCATCACACAATAACCATTTATTGGGGATGATGAGGAGGAGTAAACACCACAACGACGAAACAAGCAAAAAAGTAAAAAAACAATGGAAATTAAAGGACATCAAAATTTAACTTGAAAAAACTTAAAATAGGGGAAAAAACACGGAGCCAAACCACACCAAGAAATTCACTGTGAAAATTAGGAAAAATAAGTACATATCTATCTTCTCTCTCACTCTCTCATCGCTTCTCTACTCACATACATCATAGTCAATGTCTACATACTCAAAATACAAGAGAAAATCAAATAAAATAACCCCAAGGAATGCAACCCTTCAGAAACAAGAAAGAAAAAAATCCAGTCCATCTTGTTGCACTGCAACGCTAGTTTGAGATGTTGCGGTCCTCAAGCCTCTGTCTTGCACCGCTGCAATGTCATGCTCAAGTAAAATACCACTGTAACGCTCTACTCTCTGTCGTTCAGTGTTGGGCTCTCTAGAACACAGTACCGGGGTACTCAGGAACACAGTGTCGAGGCACTCGAGTACGCAACATAGGGTTGTTATAATGAAAAAATAATCAAACATAAGCAGGAGATAACCCCCCCCCCCGGCAAACAAGACAAGTTTTGAGATTCGAGACAACTGAATAGCCAGATTGATCAACACAATCAGATTCCAAACATAACACTATTTTTCAACTATGTTGTTCTATTATATTTTCTTAATTGTCGTCACCTGTTTGTCATAAACACCCTAAACTATTTCCTCAACAATCTCCACTACGACTACATAAGATCATGTAATTGTTCCTAACTTAAAGATCAAACTTTTGTAATATTTGCTTACATAATATATCACTTAATTTGGGATAGCACTCATGATTTTTTTCCCTTTTAAAATTTTGACATAAAAAAATTTGATGTCATTTGCAATATTTTTTAATTTGTATGTTGGATTCTCATACCAGGCAAGATGTTAAACCCTCTCTATTTTAGTGAATTTTCTAGCATGTAACAATCATTAAGTAACTAATTAAGTTATTTATATAATATATTTTAAATAAAGGAAAAGAGATGACTTAATTTAATTTACTTATATAATATATTTTTAAAGTTAAAATTTAGTATTTGAGATAATGTGCCAAATACATTTGACTCCTAAATTTTTTTTAATTAGATACATAAATAATGTGTCTATCACATATCAAATTGAGTGTTCAACAAAAAACAAGCTTTTTAAATACACACTCTATTATTTTAAAGTATTTTTAATAACTTTTTTAGTTAAATTTAAGATCTATTTGTGGTGGCTATAATTTTTAATAAAATAATTGTGAAGTTATTGTAAAAAAATTAATTTCTTAAAAAGATAGTATAGGTCATGTAATATAAATAAATATTTTTAAAAGGTTCGATAATAATTTCTTATAGCTTTAATATTTTAGTAATTTTAATTGTAACAATAACTCCTCACCTAAAATATTTTTAAAAAAATAACAAAAACATACAAAATTGTAATCAAACTCAATACCATTACACTTTCAAAAGAAAACAATTTTTTTTCTTGATAATTTTGGGGCTTAACCAGTATATTAATAAAAAACAAATACAAAGGAAGTCATGAAAAAACATGACCAAAATGAAGAAAATCCAACTATAGAGAAAAAAAGCAGGGAGAGAAAAAAAAAACCTATCCAAACCATTCACCACAGGCTAAAAACGGTGAACCAACAGCAAAATACAAAAAATTGAGTGACAAAAATAGACTCAGGATGTAGCCAACTACAAGAATATCAGCAAATCTCAGGGATCATGAATGTCGCAACCCACAGAAGGGCCCAGATTGCCGCAAGGCTAGCCAGGACAATAAGTCGAATAGCACAAGGACCATAACTGAAAGCACCATCAACACCGCAAGTACCAACCAAAATAACGTCCTTGCGGCAATCTGGTTACTTACCTAGAAGTGTTAAAGCCACAGCTTTGGTTTTAATTCCTAAAGGAGCTCATGTTTCTACTATCTCTGATTTCAGACCTATCTCCTTGTGTAATGTTTTGTACAAAATTTTGGCGAAGCTTGTTGCTAATAGATTAAAAGATGTTCTTCCGATCATTATTCATGATAGTCAAGCTGGTTTCATCAAGGATCGTTGCTCTACGGATAATATCCTCTTAGCATCCGAAATTCTTAAAGGCTTTAACAACTCTTTTTGTGCTAAGTTGGATATTCTCAAAGCGTTCGACACGGTTTCACATGATTTTCTCTTTCAGAGGCTTAGACAAAAGGGTTTCCCGGAATTGTTTATTAAATGGGTAAAGGGCTGCATCTCAAATGTTTTCTTCTCCATCTACATTAATGGTTCTTTGAATGGCTTTTTTTGGCTCCTCCTCGGGCTTAAGGCAGGGTTGCCCGTTATCTCCTCTTTTATTCTGTATTGTTATGGACGGATTCTCTTGTTCTTTAGAGAATGTTAATCCCCCTTTCCTTGGCCCTCAGATGAAAGATCTCTCTATTACGCATCTACTGTATGTTGATGATGTTTTAGTGTTTGGTAAGGCTTCAGCGGCTAATGCTTCTTCTCTTGCCAAAGCAATCTCCAATTTTTCCAATGCATCTGGCCTCTTTATTAATCCTTCTAAGAGCTCTATTATCTTCTCTAAAGATGTTCAAAACTATGTTTCCATTTGTGACTGCCTTGGCATATCCAATCAGAGTACTTACCTCAATTATCTTGGGATCCCTATTGCTTCCTGCCGGCTTAATTCTACTCACTTCCAGCCACTTGAGAGTAAAATCTTTACTCTACTGGATGGCTGGAAAGTTAAATTTCTTTCTTTTGCAGGTAGGGTTCAATTCATTAAGTTTACCATTGCAAACACTCTTGCTTATTGGATAAGAGGCTCCATCATACCCAAATCTTGCTGCAAAGTTATCACTAGGCTTTGCTCTAGATTTTTATATTATGGAAGAATTCATGAGAAAAAACTTATATTAATTTCTTGGGGGAAAACTGCTCTGCCAACAAGGATGGGGGGGATTGGTATCCCCTCTATTGAAGCCCTGTTTCACGCAAATTACTGCTCTTTCTTATAGAGGTTCTTCACTAGAGATAATTTGGTAATGAATTGGTTTAGGAACAAATACATCTCACCTTGGAAATCTCCTAATTCTGCTGCCTCGAAATTCTGGAGGAGGGTGCATAACACTGCCCTCTTTAAAAGGAAATTTTCTTTCTCTGTTTCTCTCAATTGCAAATTCTCTACGGAGTGGGATCATTGGTGCAAAGGAAAATCACTTAAGGACATTCTGTCGTCCTTTAAATTTGAGAAATTTTTTGTGAATTGTTATACTTCAAATTATGGCTGGAATCTCCCCTCCTCCACTCCACCCCTGCTGCTTACCGAGCTTTTGGACATCAATTTTTCTGAGCATCCGGCGGTTGTCTGGGATGGCTCACTTACTCCAACTTTCTCAACCTTCTATGACAGTTATTTTGGTCTTAATGATGAGGTTTGTTGGCACAAATTTGTTTGGCATAAGAAGAAATCTCTCAGGTTTTCTTCTTATGCCTGGATGGCTATGTTGGGAAAAATGAAAACTGCTGATATACTTATTCAGAGAGGGATTGATGCCTCTGCTACCTGTTCTTTCTGTGGCGCTTGTAGTGACTGTCATTCCCATATGTTTTTTTCATGTGATTTTTCCTTTACTGTCATTGCTTCTCTTCTGCCACCTCTGGGAACATTCCTCTTTAGACCAAACCTGTTGCAAACTTTTGAGTTCTTTGAGGAAGCTCGGGACTTTTGTATTTGGGAAAAAAATTTCTGCTACTTTACTATTTGCAGCTCTATTTACTTCTTATGGAGGGAGAGAAACACTAGAAGGTTTGAAAATATTTGGAAAAGCCCGACAATTCTCATTTCTGTTATTCGTCATGCTATACTTGCTAAAGTTAAACTCTGGAAGCATTTTGAAGATCTTAAAAGTCGTTTTGATATTCTGTGCTAAACTCATGCCTAATGCTGGAATGGCTGGAACAATTTATGGTGGTGGAGGATTCAGACCATGTTGCTTTTGGTCCCTTCGGGTATATGATGCTATGCCCTGCCTGTACGATGATGAAGCTCCCTTTGATTTCTCTTGGATGGTCTACTGGCAACCAGAGAAATGACTCAATTAATTGAAAATTTCTGAGTTCAGGCAGCTGCGCTTGGGAGCTGTTTTCTCTATTTTGCTGCAGGTACCTCCTTTCGTTTGGTAGCTATGCTGGGAACTATTCTGATAGCTGGGGTGCTGTTTTGTTTTGTGCTTCGGGGATTGGTGGCCCTCTTCCTATACCTTGGTCGGCATGTTGTAGCTGCTGCTTCTCTTTGAGTTTGAGTCTTGTTGCACCTGTAGCTCTTTTTAAGTCTTATAGAGTTTTTTTTGTAAGTTTGGGGTGATATAGTTGGGGTTTCTTTTGTCATCCATCATAAGTTTTGTTTTTGGGTTATGTTTGGATGCTCTTGCATGTAACTCTTACTTTTCTTGTAACTTTTCTTCTTTTTATTAATATATGGGCCTAAGCCCCAAATTTTCCCAAAAAAAAAAAAAAGTAACGTCCTTCCCATGCCACATAATCAAAAGGTTGCCACAAGGGCCGTCCCATAAAGAATGGCAAGCAACTGATCACAATCATCATTGTCCAAGCAAATCAGCCATCGAAAACCGCAGAGGAAGAGCTCAAAAAACCAGAAAAAACTTAGTTGAGGATAGCAAAACGATCTTAAAAGCAAACGGTGAGAAAGGCAGAAAGCTATCCAACCTTAGTAACCTGTCCCAGTTATGATGATACGCTGTCCCGCGGAGTAGAAAAAAAAGGTGGAGCCAAATCGAGTAAGGAGCCCACAAGCCCGTCACTATTCGCATACATTCCCATCATAGCCAGCTTTATTTATTTATTTTTTAGAGTACTCCAACTGTTCTCACTAACTTTCACAACTTGTGCAATTCCTCGCCCACCGCCCTTCTCCGTTCTCCCCGTCTCTCTCCCCTACAGTTTAATTTCTCCTTTCTATGTGTTTGTATCTCTAAAATGGCTTCCCTGGAGGACATAGCCGTTTCCGCCTTCATCAACATTTTAAGCGCCATCGGCTTCCTCCTCGCTTTCGCTGTGCTGAGAGTTCAGCCCATCAACTCTAGAGTTTACTACCCCAAGTTGTACATCAATGGGTTGAGGAGTTCGCCTCGAGGGTCCATGAATGGGGTCCTCCGCTTTGTCAATTTCAACATCTGGAGCTACATCGTCAGCTTCTTGGGCTGGATGCCGGAAGCGCTTAAGATGAGCCAGACGGAGATCATTCAGCACGCCGGCCTCGATTCCGCAATCTATCTCCGGATTTACATTCTTGGGTTTGTTTTCAAATAATTATTATTATGGTTTCCGATTGATTTTTTTTAGGTTTATACTGATTTTTGCCTATTCGATAATGGATGCATAAATCTGCGGAGGGTTTTGCTTTACGATGGTTGCTTCGGTTTTTAATTTTTTATGGATTTGTGAAAATTTTATTAACTTTCTGAATTTTGTCTTTGGTCCATTTGGCTATGTGCTATTATTGGTAAAGAAGTTGACGCTTTTTTTTAAGTCTGGACTGAATGCTGCTCTGAAACGCTTTGGTCCACATCAATGTTCACAGAGAAGGCTAATATTTTACATTTCAGTCAATTTCGTCTGAATCATGCAAACTTATCAAAATATATTACATTTATGAATTTATTTTCCAAAAGAAAAACGTTTATGAATTTAAAATTTATGAAAAATAGATTTTGAAAATGTTTTTAATATTTAGAATATTTAGAACTTTATGAAAGGAAAAGTTGTCCAAGCTATATCATTGAAACAGATGAAACTGTGCAGACCAACGAACAAAGCTTATGGGAGCGAAACCGAAACCATATCGAGTTTCAAAGCCTTGTTAACTTTTAATATTTCTTTTTCTCATAAAAATATCATGAAACCTTGAATTATTTATCTTACGGAGGCCTCTGACCTTTATGAAAACGGTGAACTTTTAAGAGATGAAATAATCTTTGATCGGCATTTCATTTTAACTTCTGTTTTATTTTTACATTCTTTTATTATTTTGGGCTGAGGTTTTTCAAGTTTCATTGGCTGGTTGTGATCATATCACTAATCGTAATTTAGCTCCATTTGGAACTGTAAGAGTTGTAATTCTTGTAGAAAGACACAAACTTTGTATTTTCTATTTATTAACAGAAATAATTATCAGTTTGATTGTATGACCCTTAGGAATGTAATAAGAAGATATGGATTTTCTGTTGGGGAAGTAAACCACACAGCGAATACAAATAAGAAAGACAAAATGATGAAAAAAAAAAGGAAACCGGAAAAAAACCACGAAGCAACATCATACCGAGAAATTCACTATGAAAATTTGGGAGAAATACTACAAATCTCTCTTCTCTATCACTTTCTCTTCGCCTCTCTTCACTCTTTCACTGTTCTCATACTAGAACTAACAAAGAGAAAACACATTAAAACCATCAAGGAACTCAACCCTTCATGAAAAACGAGAAAGAAAGCTACTTAATCCACCTTGCAGCAGGGTTTTGAGTGTCGTGGCTCTCCACTCTCTAGCTCAAGTCTATTTGTCTCCTTCCTGAGTCCCAGTGCCGACGTTTGGAGCACCGCGGTGCTTCGCTCTTTGTCTGCCTCCATCCAAACAATACAGTCCCGCAATATTGTACGATTGTAAGGAAAAAAAATTTTGGGTGCAAAGCCCACAAACCCAAGCAGGTGGAGGACCCTCTGCAACCCCTTGACGAGCTCTATCGATGGAATTGAGGTTCGAGACAATAGTACAACTGGATTGATCAACACATTCATATTCCACATAAAACTAACATTTTCTGAATGGATTAGTTGATTTCAATTAGTGAATGCGATCATTTACAGCATTGAAGTTAGGGGAAAATATTTTTACACGCAGATGAGTTGTAGTAAATATGCAATATCTGATTATATATTTTATCTAGCACTTTCTTCTTAAACAGTTAGATGTTTTAGTATCCATATCCACTTTGTCATTATGATCTAAAATTAGAGTAATAGTAGATACGTGCTGAAGCATGGAGTGGCAGTGTGAACTTCACTTTCCACATAAGCTAAGTAAATCATAATTGAACTTGATATCTCATCCATATGCTTCACTCATATAAATATATCATTGCCTTGTTTTATGAGATGTTTATTTTAATAGATAAGAAGTTACTGATGCTCTTATAACAATTTTTGTAGAATTACTCAACCTTGACTCTTGCTTCTTGTTCCTTTCATATAGCTTAAAGATATTTGTGCCATTGACAATCTTGGCGCTATTGGTTATAATACCTGTCAATGTATCTAGTGGAACATTACTAGATCTCAAGAAAGATATTGTTTTCAGTGACATTGATAAGCTCTCCATTTCAAATGTCAAACCAGGATCTGAAAGGTGAATATTAATTTTCTTGTAGACTTTAGAATTTTCTTCAGGGCAAGTGCTGCATAATATCATACTTTCTGCTTATCTAGTTGTTTAGGTTGTTGTAAGGTTTTAATTGATAAGTGCGAGAAGCCGAGAAGTTAACACCTTTGGTGATAATGCAGAATTTAAGCATACTCTTTGTTTTCATACAAGGGAAAAATATTGTGTTTCTCAGCTGTATGATTGTATTGTCGTGCTTTAGGTTTTGGGTTCACCTCTGCATGGCGTACATATTCACCTTATGGACTTCCTATATGCTGTACATGGAATATGATAATGTAGCTTTTATGCGGTTGCATTTCTTGGCATCACAACACCGTCGTGTGGAGCAATTCACAGTAAGTTTCAGTTGACAGCTTAAATTGAGCACAAAATGGAGTTTCGCTTGTTTTTAATTAATTTTTTACTCATTTATTATCAAATACTTTAGGGAATCAAAGCAGACATTGGAGTCATATCATTTAGTTAATATATATATGTATGGTTATGGTGGAATACAGGCACTCAATTCATGAAAACTTTTGAGAAGTTTTAATTCAAAGTCTTGAAAAATCTGTCCATTCACTATATTTTTTTGTAGAAGTTACTTCATTACCTTTTTGGCATGAACATTTGTTTTAGTTTTTTCCTTAAAGCAATGGATCTGGCCATTGCTTCAGGATGCCGTTTTTACCTTTTCCCATGTTTTGGTTGTTGGTACGATTTTCAGGTAGTTGTCAGAAATGTTCCTCAAATCTCAGGTCATTCCATTGCAGAGACTGTGGATCATTTCTTTCAGAAGAATCATCCTGACCACTATCTTAGTCACCAGGTAGTCAAAACTCCCCATAAGGATTTTCATTTTTACAGCCTGAGCCACCTAATTGATGTAACGCTGATGCCATGCTAGTATGCTACTTATCAGCAGTTTTGTTGTGATAATGTTTACTCTGCTTTATTTCTTTTCAATTCATTTTTTTTGTGGAATCCAGACTTATTTGTAAGTTTTTTTATTATCATCAGGCTGTTTACAATGCAAACAGATTTGCTAAACTTGTCAGGCAAAAGGAAAGGCTGCAAAACTGGTTAGACTATAACCAGATCAAATTTGAACGAAATCCAGATAAACGGCCGACCAGTAAGGCATGCTTTACTTATGGAAGCTTGTAATACTTAATGTATCAAACTCAAATAGCTTTTGAATTAATCCTAGTTGCTTTTTAAATTAGATTTAAAAGTGCATGTCTTCAGTATTTGATATATCCTTTTACATCTAATTTCAGATTGGCTTCCTTGGCCTTTGTGGTCGAAGAGTAGATTCAATTGAATATTATAAACAAAGGATTAAAGTGCTTGACAATAGAGTAAGATTATATAGTTTGTGCTTCTACATTGCATTTATTTATTATCTTCTTCTGCTCTAGTAAATGCTGCAATACCTGTTATGGAAATCTTTTCTTATTGAATTCAGCATTGATTAGGAAGGATTTTATGGGCTGATTATTGCTTACATTAGGATATTTGATTAATGCTTTGATTAGGGAAGTATTCATTAGGAGATCCAATTATTAATTTGATCTCTTTATTTGCTTTTTTTTTTTCAAATTTATAAATAAGGCTTGAGGGGTATTGTGTGAGGAGTGAGAGTCAATTGTAATTCTATTTTCAATATGGTGAAATTATCATTTCCCTGTGGACGTAGGCATCTTCATCGAATCACAAAAATCGCTTTATGTTTGATTGTGATTTTCTGTAGGGCTGCAAGCGAACCAAACATTCAGCGAGCTACTCGTTGTTCGGTTCGATTAAAGCTCGTTTGTGATCGTTTAATTAACTAAACAAACAAACTTGAACAATATTTTAAATACTCGATTCTTAAATAAACAAACTTGAACACTAATGTGTTCGGCTCATTTATGTTCGCGAACAACATCATTTGAAGCTCGTGAACAAGCTCGACATTGAGCTCAATAAGAAGCTCGATAAAAGCTCGATTCGTGTTCGATTTTGAACTCATGAATAAACTCGATAAAAATAAATAATATTTGATTTAGAACACTTCTCCTTTCCATTCTTTCAGATTGCTGCAGGTATCAGATATTACTTAATTTGCTGTCTAAGTAATTGTAGCTTTATATGACTATTTATTTATAAATCATTGCCTTTGTTAATGGTGTTGTTAGGAAAATTATGTGAAGATGGGATTTGCTTATAAATCATTGACTTTGTTACATAGACAATTGCTTTTATTATAAATGTGTTTGTTCATAGATATGTTCATGAACGTGCTTGTTTGATAGTTTAAAAAAATTCGTTAAATATGCTCGCGAACATGCTCGATGTAATCGTTTGTTAGGAAGCTCGATAAAGCTCATTTGTTAAGTTAGTGAATATATGAAAGTAAAGCTCGTTTATAGCTCGTTCATGTTTGTTTGTATAAAGCTCGATAAGCAATAAACGAACTGAACATGAATTAAACATGAACCGAACATGAACACTCATTAATTTAAATGAACCAAATATGAACACAAACAATAAAGCTTGAGCAAACATGAACCAAATTTGAACAAGTTGATATTAAATGAACACAAACATGAACACTCACATACTTGGCTCGGCTTAGTTCGTTTGCAGCCCTAATTTTCTGGTTATTTCTGCTGATTTTGCATAATAATTGGTATCAGAGCCAGATTTTGGTGGGATTTCAGGCATGGCTTGAAGAGCAGAAGAATTTTTTGTTCTTGTGATTTGTCCAGGCAAAAGGAGGGAAGGCAGTGCTGAGGCATGCAAATCACGACAGGTCGGGCTGCTCTTTGGTTAGGTTTTGCGGTTCACGCTTTTTTTTTTCGCTCGAGAAGGGAGCGTTCAGATGGAGCAGCAACAACGCATGCAGGATCTATTGCAGCATAAAGACGTGCAAAGTGCGTGAGCCGGGTCAGATGCGTAAGTGCGTGTGAAGCATCGATGCGTGGTCACCTGTGCGAAATAGAGGACCATGTGCTGTAGCTCATGGGCATGGCTTGCATGTGGAGGCTTCTAGGCTCAATTTTTGTGAACATTGTGTGTTTGACAAGAAGATACGGGTATCATTTGGTACTGTTATCCATAATACAAAGGATATTCTTGAGTATATTCACACAAATGTTTGGGGCCCAATGAAGACAACATCATTCGATAGGCAGAGATATTTTATATCTTTCATTGATGATTACTCTAGATATGTTTGGGTGTACACCTGATAGGAAACACTTGGATTTCCAAGTGTTTCTCAC